ATTAATTACACAGTGTTTCGGTGATCGATGAGGTAGTATCGTTATTACATTAGGAATCTCAACGACCAAAATAGTATTTAGTTAGGGTCTATCTGTAATAAACAGGACACAAAGTGGATATAATTCACATATTTAAAGTAATCAATAAATAGTGTGATTCCTCTTAACTGAAAGTATCGGAGGCGAGGCAGTTTGATACCTTTGAAGTCAACTTCGTTTACATTACAAGTAGTTATTTTAAACTCATTTCTTTTTATGTCAAGTCATTGACCAATATATTAAGGAGCAAAAGTTAAATCTTACATTTGTTAATAATTATTTATACCGTCAAATAAACTCAAACTCATCTGAGGGACTACTGAATTTCTATCCAGCATGTCTGGTCTATCGTGTGAGTGATCAGAAGTAGCTTCTCGTTGTTCAAAGATCAGAAGTAGCCATAAAAGTTCAATACTGAATGATAAAACTTCTGATCTTCAAAGAATAATGAAATGACAGTTTGACAACATTTTTTTCACCTAAATGCTTATAATAATCATTCATAGTATCGAGGTTTCCAAGGTTTGGATTTTGCAAAAATTAATTTAGTAATAGTTACATTTGTTTTACATTTCAATCATTAGAATTTCTTTTCGACGAAATCATTTACTCAAGCTGTACATTCGTATTTTAGCTGTATGGTAAACATATGTCCCAGAGGGAACATCAGCTCTGAGATGCAGGTGCACCCAGCTGACGAATCCCAAATAGGACGAAACGCTCGTCCTGGATTCCACTGCTAGCCACTATCCATCTTTGCTTAATATATGTCTATGTATTCGTTTTTCTTCATATCTGTCAAGTGGACAATCGTCTTTCATAATTCCGACCTGTAAATTACTTTCATCCTTATGTTCTTCTATTACCCCTTGATTATTGCGCAACCCCATTTGATAATAAGAATTTCGAACCTCCTTATGACGCAATCTTTTCCATCCTTCTATAGATATATATTTACCATACAACAATTTACTTAAGACACTTTAATTTATTATTACTTACTAACTCATAATGTAATGGGTTACTCAAATAATGTTGATTTGCTGGAGGCAGTTGACAGGAAACTCTGAGCCTCGATTCTATTATACCATTCGTCAACACGGTGTACCTATGATCTTGATGCTTCCTGTAAGATTTTGACTTACATCACTCAACGTCACTGTTTTAGTTACGCTTGGTAACATCTCAAATCTTGATACTTTGTGACGTTGCTCGAAATCTTTCACAGACCATTAAGAGACCAACATGTAATGTCATAAAACATGAGGCTAGTGTTCTCAACTGAATGGCTCCGATTATTGAATATCAAGATATAGTTCACATAATATCGAGTTACTTAGACTAATGATCACTTTGTAATTCGCTGGATTGGATTCGAACTAAGAAATACACAAATCTTACATTGGTTACTGCTTGTATCAATCAATTAATATACATTACATTGCGATTTACCATTCCCAATTTATTAGTTAAAGTCTCCCATACAGTCACATTTGGCTTGACCTTATATAATTGTTATTTTCTATGTTATGGTGCGATGCGGTCTAGTCTGTTTATATATAAACCAAGTATATCTGAAATATACGATTCATACAGAGGTGGCTGAAGTTGTGTTCTGGACTCAACGGGTAGGGGACCAATAAGGACTCACAGTTGACTCCAGGCTGATCGTGCTAGGTAATGAGTCATTGGTTTGACACAGGGCTGAAGTCGTATAAGTCGGTGTTCTGACTGACGATCTGGTTTTGCGATATTTGACCTAGCTTAGAACATAATAGTATCCCAATCTTAAATTTTGCAATTTCATTTAACCTACGACCCCGTCCGAGTAATCATTGTTTTGCCAATTTCAGCATCTACAAACGCTCTTTAGCATTGTCTCTCGTGGTTGTATAAAAGAGCACTTAAAAAAAAGAAACGTACCAATTTTTTATTTACTACAGCACTCGATGAACGAAGTCCAACCTTTATAGTCAAAAGGAACGCCAGCGAAGTTTCCATGGATTGTACTTCTCTGCTTACAAAGTACGGTAGACATACGATCGTGCTACACATATACTGTCAGAAACTGATTAACTGCAGTTTTGAATATTACTTGCTTACACACGCCTGTTGCCTCCTGTGAAGGAGCATAGGCCGCCCACCAGCATTATCCATTTAACTCTGTCCTGGGCAATTCTTTCTAGGTGCTTTTAGTTGCTAATCATTCTTTTCATATCTGCTTCCAACTCTCAACACACTGTGTTCTTTGGCCTTTCACTTTTCCGTTTCCCCTCAGGATTCAAAATTAGCGCCTACCTCGTGATGCAGTTTGATAACATTCGCGATGTATGTCCTATCCACTGCCAATGTTTTTCTCTAATTTCCTCTTCAGATCGAAGCTGCTTTGTTCTCTCCTACAGTTGGCTGTTGATGATGGTATCCTAACAGGGAACATTAAGTATCTTGAGTAAATAACTATTTATAAATACTTGTACTTTTTGATAATGGTTGTGGTAGTTCTCGAAGTTTCAGCTACGTACAATAGAACTATCTTGACGGTCATATTTTGGTTGACACTTGTCTTGAGTTCCATATGTTCTTCAGTTGTAGGAATGCGACTCTTACTTTACCAATCCTAACCTTTACGTCTGAATCAGATTCTCCTTGTTCATCGATGATGCTGACCAGGTACGTGAAAGATTCTACGTCTTCCAGAGTTTCTCCATCACGTGTGACTGGATTGGTGTTTCCCATGTTGTATTTGAGGATCCTGATTCTTCCCCTGTGTATGTTAAGGCCCACTGATGCAGAGGTTGCTGCTACACTAGTTGTCTCGACCTGCATTTGTTGGTCTAGTTGCATCCAACCTGCCCATTGTATTCCATGCTTCCTTTCAGATGTCTAGGTCTTCATAATCCAGTCGACCACCAGAAGAAACAGAAAAAAAGAGAGTAGGCATTCTGGTACCGTTTCTCACTTGAAATGAGTCCGTCAGCCATCCTCCATGATTGACTTCGCAGTGTAGTCCGTCGTATGAATTCCGTACCATATTGACGATTTTTTCAGGTACTCCATAGTGTTGAAGAAGGTTCCATAAAGGTCTCCTATCCATACTATCATACGCTTTCTTATGGTCAATGAAGTTGATGTATAGTGACGAGTTCTATTCAATTGATGGCTCAACGATGATTCGTAGTATGTCTATTTAATCTGTGCACAATCGATGCTTACGGAATCCGACTTGTTGGTTTTGAAGTTAAGCGTCCACTGAATCTTTCATATGGTTCAGCAACAGTCTGTTGAAAACAGTTCCTGGTGCTGATAGTAGTATGATTCCTGTATAGATCTCACATTTGCTCAAATATCCTTTCTTTGGTATCTTGACGAGATATTCTTCTTCCCAGTATGTCTGCGGCACTTTTTCTTCTACCCAAATCTTCCTGAATAGAACGTGGACCATGTTTGCAGTTATTTCATTATCTGACTTCAGTGTTTCAGTTTGTATGATGTCACGTCCTGCTGCTGATTTTCCACTCTTAATTTGTCTGATGGTCACCCTGATTTCTTCGATCGCTGATGGATTGGTCTGTGTGTGCTGCTTCGACATTCGGTGGGTTCAATGTAGCTGGTCTATTCAAGAGTTCCTCGAAGTGTTCCACCTATCTGTTCCTCTGTCATTGAATTTGACTTCTTTGTCCTTGACCGGTCTCTCTGCTTTACTATATTTCCCTGCTAGTTTCTTCGTGGTGTTATATAGTCGTTTCAGATTTCTGTCTACTGCAGCTTTCTCCACTGCCATCGCTAGCACTTCCACGTACTTCTACTTGTCGGTTCTAATGCTCTTCTTCATTTGCTTGTTTGCTTCAGTGTATTCAACTTGTGCCTCGACTTCTTCTGCCTATGTTCGGCCGTTGTTAATTGCTTTCATTTTGTTCTTCCTTTCTAGGACCTCTTATAGGGTTTCGATGGAGATCCATTCCTTGTGATTATGCTTGTTGAGGCCCAGCACTTCTTGAGATGTTGAAGTTAATGCTTCTTTGATACCTTTTCAGTTGTCCTCCATAATAGTTTCTTCATCTTTCAGTAGATCCTGTAAGGCTTGGAACCTGTTGTTGAGAGTTATCTTGAATTGGTTGAGTTTGTCATGATTGATTGCAGTCTCTCATAAAACTGATCTTTATTGTCATTTTTGCTATCATTGGTGGGTGCATAACATTGGATAACATTCGTTGTAATCCTCTCCTTTGTTTCAAGGTGTGCTTCGATGTTTCTGGATCCATGATACTTGCACTTATAGGAGCCTTTTGTACTTAATTATATAGAATCAGTTCAACTGCTTGTATGTGCCAAGCATTTGTTTCTTCAGGACAGAAGTACAACAACACCTCTTGCGAAGCTGATATTTTTTGTCCAACTTGGGTCCAATAAGTTTCACTTATTCCGAGCACCGACAAGTTGTATTTCTTCATTCGCGTAACTATTTGAATGGTCCTCCCAGTCTCCCAAATTGTCCGGACGTTCCATATACCTAGATTAATTTTTGCTCTGGTTGTCAGAAGGGGCGTCGTTCTCATGATTTTTGAAGAGCATCGGCTTTCACCATGAGGCGTCATAATTCTTCTGAATAAAGATTCTTCAATTAGGATGTCAAATTTGTTTCTTCTGGTTGGAATTTTTCTAGCAAGGTTGTTTTCTACGGGATGGCGTTGGTGAACTCATACCGAATCATCCTCCTTTACTCGTCTTACTAACTCCCGGAGCGTACATTTTTGATAAACAGATGAGATGCATTCGCTAAATCAAAATCATTTCATGATATCTTCATGTATTTTGTAGTAAAATGAAATCCCTAAATACCATACCTCAACTAGAAGGTTTTATTTGAAGTTGAATTAACGAAGGTGAAAAATGTTTTTAAGATTTACGACAGATTGTAGTGATCTGTTCTTTTTATTTCTTTATATTTTACCATCCTATAGCGTTTCTTCAGGATTGGGTTTACGAACAAATCAAAAAAGCAAAAGTCAGATTTACTTAATAATGAAATATCCCCATTCGATGCAATAAGAAATGTTTCAGCTAAACACTCACATTTCGTCAAGTATCTTGCTTTAGAAGGTCCAGTCAACCAAAGGTAAGTGTTCAGTCTGCTTATACCTCGTATATAATTCGTGCATGAAAATAAATTTGGAGAAACTAACATTAGAAACATATCAAATACTGATTACTTCATGGTGATACCATAGGTGTTCTTAAATAAGATCCTGACGAGTTCAAGACACTCAGAAATAATGAAATTTCAAGCAGTTTTCCAAAAATTCAGTTACTAATTGACTTTTTTTACTACTGTTTAATGCTTGAAAGACATTAGTCAACTCGAAATAATAACAATCCAAGTTCTTTTCATAGAATACGTTGAAAAATATATAAGCTTTATCATTTTTTACAAACTCTTTGAAAAAATGTTGATTGGGTTGTAATGAATAATGGATGACGTAATCGACTAGTAAATCACGATTAGCGGTAATACAACCGACATTAATAATCCCAATGTTAACAATATAACTGATTGTCTCCTGTGATTCAAGACAAATAATTATACCTACACAACAAACTTTCAAGAGAATTTGATTTACAATAGTTCAATGAAGATCTAAAACATAATATTTAACTAAATTTGTTGTAAATCAATAAATTGACTAGTCAGTCGAACTTATAAATGTATGTGAATTATGAACTGACTTCATAATAAAAATTTGGATTCGATGATGATTGTAGTGTCTGTTATTATGTTATTATGTTATTCTAACTTTCGGACAGCCCATTCTATTCATTCTACTTGAGTCACATTCTAACGTTGTTAATTATTCGCTTATCAATCTTCACTGTTTTTATATGAACGCGTAGGTGTGTGTACACTTCTTATCCCATTACTCATCACATGTCTGTAACTTATTTTGTGTGCTTATAAATATTGATTAACGCTTGATTAAAGGGGAGTTGGCTTACCAGCCATCTCCACTGCGCGTTGTTCAGCTTCACTCTATTCGACTACCTTCATATACAAAATATATGTATTCAAAAGTCCGTTCTCGTTATTTGACTTATTTAATTCCGTTATTAACTAACGCGATTTAAGTCAATGATTATATACGAGGATAGGAGATAACAAACATTTATACGATCTATTTGGAGTCAGATCTCGGGCTACTAAAAGATTTCAGATACTTTAAATCCTTAAAACAATTTTAATCAAACGTTAATATGCCCTTTATAAGCAAAGATCGATAGTGGCTAGCAGTGGGATCCAGGACGCGCGTTTCGTCCTGTTCGGGACTTGTCAGCTGGATGTACCTGTATCTCAGAGTTGATGTTTACACTTTAATCAGAGACTAAATACATTATTGATATATAGAATTTATATAAAAGTTTGCATATATTTAACTCAATGTCATAATTTTCAAATCCAAAAAAGAATGACACACAATTATGTTGGACGAAATTAAGGATCTCTAGACTTGTTTATTTCACTTTATACTATAATGGAAATACTTGATAAAATAAATCATTATTTAAATTATTTATTTCTCTCACTTCATAATTTCTATGACTCACTAACTGACTTTTGAATGTTATTTAATAGCGACACAAACTTGAACATACCGATTCTAGTAACGAGGTTTTAATAATATATGAATTAATAAGTTTATTTTTGTTAAATACTATCGTCATTTAGATAGATACATTTAATAACGTATTCCTAAACATAATTCACTGACAGTCTTTCTTGATGAGAACTGCAGTCAGGTCATAATTTTAGTCTTTAACTGATTCTAACCAATAACTTCAGAGTCCGCAGGACATTGAGAGCTTAATCTACCAATTTTATATCGGTTGCGAACTACTTATTTATGGAACTTTATTTGACTTTTTTTACTCGGACATTTCTATGAAAATTTTGACGTACACATAGTATGAAAACAAGTTTTGTGTTCATCGATTTTATAATACTCAGCATATCTTGACGTTTTATTTTGTTGATATTTTTGTTAAGTTTAACCTACCTTCCATCAACGGTCAAAATGAGTTTGCAGTGGCCTGATCAAGAAAAATCAGATATATTTGATCCCAATGAAACAAAAAATTCAACAGTGTGTTTAAACGAATGCGTTAATCCTGAAGAAAGTAGCTACAAGAATGACAACTGTACTAATGTGATGATTCGACCACCTAAATGTGGACAAAGAAGTTCTAGTGTTACACCATCAGATAGGTTTTCAGAAACATCTAGTGATAGAAACATAGAATCTTGTTCGACATGCGAAAAAGTTTATCCATCAACTCCCATTGCCTCCAAATCAACCGTACTTCTCCGTCGCCCAAGAACTCCCACGTTAGGAAGAGCTGCTCTATTTGTTCGTGCATCATATATGGGTGTGGATAAGTCAGGAACACCAACTAGTTTATCATTTTCCAAACAAAGTACAAAACGAGATACGGTCTTATCAAATGATTCCCATTTCAGTGATTTTCCGAATTTATCCAGTACACAGTCAGGTTTTATTAGTCGTAGTTCAAGTCTAAACTCTGAACTCAGGGAATTCAATCAAAATACACAGCAAAGGTAAAATTCAAATATTTATTTAATTGTTCAAATCATTACCAGCACGAGATAATAGAATTTGTATATTTTTAAAGCATTTCAAAGTATCCCTAAAGTATTTGTGTTTAAACTTCCATTCCAACTGAATCTAGTAGCTGTGTTTTAATTGTTTTTCGTCTAGAAGCTCCTCTTCTAGGTTTCCTGGGTGTACAAGTCCACTTGTCTACACTACACTTCCCGTTAATAAGAAACATAGGATTGATATATATCAATTGATTATTATATATGTTTAGATATCAATTGAAAATCTTCATTTGAAATTATACGGATTCATTATTAAAATGACTAGTACAAATTGATTGTAAAATAAAGTAATCAATAACTGTTTACACGGTTTCTCAAAACAAAAAAAAGCTGCCAACATTCATATCGAGAATGTTCTTACTATTTTACTTATATAGATCAAATATTTGAGAGTATCCACTTGTTTTCACTTTATACCAAATTCTTGATGTAGTATTTGTTAAAATCAAGGCTTAAAATTGTTCCATTATACTATACTCAATTCTTACATCATATGATATCTAACGTATTTTTGAAAAAAAAGTATTATGACAAAACTAAATCGTTGTTGTATAAGTTTATTAATCAAAATTTATTGAATTATACATTTGATATTGATACAGAGAATGATGTCAAAAGGAAAGTTTTATTAAAGCCCAACTTCAAATCTAAGTTGTCATGTATATGAAACAATATCTAACTGATCTTATTGAGTGATTTCAATGATAATTGTTAGAATGGGATAAAAGTACATGGTCTTAATTTTACTCAGTGTGATTTTTATTCAATATTGCTTTGGTTTTTAAATCCGTATCATAATTAATCAGTAGAATATTCGCTTTATTTCAATGTAATTCTGAAATGTGCTAACAATAACCAAGTTCTTGTTTCAATTCACTTGTTGGTTGTTGTTCTGTACTGTCCGGTTAATAACAGAAATGGTGCTATTGGCAGTTGAGTACACTGACTGCCAACTTAGGTTCATTACACTTAATTAAAAATTCAGATGTATTGATGGACTGATATCATAGAAATATTTTATAAATTAAAACTAAGAATTCTTTGATTTTCAGATGGTGAAGATTTGTAGTTTAGGAGGATGGTTTTGATGGAGTTTTGTTCTCTGAGCTGGATGGTTTGGTCTTTGAGCTTTCATCATTCTTCTGAGCGACATCATCAGCAATGACTTCAGGTAGAAGTGAAGTGTCCGAATTTCTCCACATGTGGTTCACAGTTTGTCCTGTAGACCTCGATGTTAATTGGTTCTTGTTAACCTTAAACCTGTTATTTTTTACAATAATGATTAAAGCTCCACGACCAAATCATCCAGAGAACAAAACTCCATTAAAATTCTTTGATTAGAAGATTGATTTCAGCATACATGGTTCACTTATTCAAAAAAATAACAACTAAACTAGTTATTAGCTTAGATGCAGTAGCAACTCACAATTACATTGGCTTGAATAAGACATTCAGGTTTACCTAATTATCTTAATTTCCTGAAAAACATCTGCATACTACCTGAAGATAGAAAATAACTCCAGTTAGATAAATTCCGTAAACGTAAAATTTAATATACAGGTCTTAATCCGATTGTAGTGTAGTTAACAGTAATAATTTATGAAGTCTATCCTCTCAAATTACACTAGTGTCCCTTAAAGCGGGTTAAGTTTTTGATATATTAGTTATTAGCAGCAAATATTATAACGTGACTAAAATAAGGTCCAAAAAATAAGGCTTGTTAAGACAATTTTTTATCTATTACATTTTCTTGTAAATTACTGGTTTGTATATAATTCGAATTGATTGTTCTGAACATTGTTGTTTAGTGCTGCAATTGATCAGTCACTTGTTAGCACATGTGCATCCTGTGTGGATTTACTGAATTGTTTTATGGTTGTGAGCTGATAAATTTACTGAGAACCTTTCTCGCATATTAGTGGTATTTATTTCATTTAAATTCATTTGAGAGATTACCGGAACATATTCGAGTTTTGTAAGATATTTTTATGCAAATCACATTGCCTATTTGAGACTATTATCAAGAGAGAACTTGGGGTCTTCCCGAAAATAAATTTCCTTCATCTCCATTAGGATTTTAATCGGTGTTTATCAGCAAAATCTCTTAAAGTGTAACGCCTGGTTCAAATGGTGTATAATTAATTCTTTAATTTCAAGTTTATCATACAAAAAAACAATATGCAACTGCATCCACTCACTTAATAGTTTTAACTAATTATACTTTCGGTGACCTACAAAGTACATGAAAAATTTTAGTTTAGAGCTGATCTGAAAAATGGTTACCAGTGATACTAACTTCTTAAAGAACTTCAAAATTCACAGAACTTCAAACTGTTCGAGATAAGTACTAGTAAGTTAAAATTAAATTAAAGTTGTACATCAAAGTATGTTTATGCGTATGAAAGTAAGTTTAATACCCTCAGTAATAAATATTTTTTGAGATTCAAGAATGGCTCGTAATGAATCATGTAAGTGAAAACACCAACAAACTGTATCCTTGATAATGCAATGAGAAGATGAAGTTGGTCAGAAATTTGTGATATATTTGAGCAATCTGATCACACATATACTTGTTAAAACATTTTATGTGAAAATTAAAAGGTCAACTAGACAGGTTAAAGGTAGGCCGTAACAAAGAAAAAAAATAAAGTACACAAAAACGATGTGTCGAATAAGATCACAAGATAGACCGATATTTGATTGAAACTGGTCACAAGGTTGACATCAAGTCAGTATTTGTAGTGTTACAGAAAAGCCTTCAAGGATGTATACTAAGGTTTATTGAAACCTTGGTTATAAGGAAACTGAAATCCCCTTTATGTGTTCAAAAACAGTTTGTTCTTACCCTTAACCTACCCTGGTAATACTGATTTATTATCCAGAGTGGTTATCACATTGTTTTTTATACTTTATTTTCCTTTGTTACGGCTTACCATTAAACTGTCTAGTCGACCTAATTTTTATATATAAATGTTCTTAACAAGTATATGTGTGATCAGATTGTTCAAAATGTACTGAAGCTAGACCACCATAATATACTTGCAAGCACTAGACGGCCATTTTGTCCTATTGTGGGACTCCTCAGCAGTGCGCATCCACGTTCAGTGCTTCCAGGTTTTTAATGGTGGTTTAGCTTCAATTGACTCATGATCTCAACTATTAAAAATAACAAAATAAATTAATATTCAAATAATAAATTCAGAGGATACAACACCATTCAGTATATATGTAACAGTATAGAACATTAATACATCATATTCTGTTAAGTTTAATGCAAAGGTTGGAAGCTAAAAAATTATTTTATTTTCTTTGATATATAGTTTTAACCGATTATCTGTTAAAAGTAACTCATCACAAACTAATTTGCAACCATTTAATTTGAATGGACGTCAGTGTGAAACAAAAATTCCAAAAGCTACATCGAGTAGATATAATTGTCATGCTTATGATACTGTTCCGTTGGATAAACTTGAATGTTTGAAATTAATTCCTTCAGTACAAATGTTAAGTAAAAGTTCTGAAGTAAATTCAGAATCATCAAATTTAGCATTTATCAAATCATCCGATAATGTTCCAACTACAATTTCTTCATTACATGGAGATCAAAAACTACAATCACATACTAGTGAATATAACACTGAACGAAATCAAACTCAAGTGATAGAATCCAATATTTTGCAAGATACAAGACATCCTGTTGATATGTTGATTACATCATCTTCAGAAACTGAAGTATCAGTTATGAATGTCAAACAACCAATGAAATATGAATCTAACCGTACTTTGGAAATCTCTAATCTCCAGCTTAATCCACAATCCTTTTCAAAAAATTGTGGCATTATTTCAAATTCACGTAAATCAGTTGAAATTCCAAAGGCTTCAGTGCAACCTATAAGACAGAAACCTGTCAAGGTAAGAAAGTAAAAATTATATTATTACTTTACTACTTATGTAGGTACAACATTTCGAAGAATAGAAATTCGAATGGTAATTTTTCAAATATTCGGAAAACCAAAATAAGTCCCTGTTTTTTATTATTAGTTTCCAAGTATTCAGCTGTGAACAGATAAAAGATACTCAGCTTTTAATTAATGGATAAAAACATTTGATTAGTGGTTTCGGTGATGATCTCAATAGAAATCACAATATTTGAAAGTCATGACAGTGCTGTAATCTATGATCGTTACAATGAAAACTGGAGGAAATTAATAGATTATAATAGTGAATAACTGTAGAATCAAGGATTTTAACTAGTTTCAAACTTACTGGGGTTTTATAAATAACCCGACAGCGCAAATGATCGTTAAAATCGTGGTTAAATTGGTAGATAATCGATGTAATGAAGTGATTATTACATAACATTTTCCTAAATAATAATTATATCATTCCAATAAATGGAAATATCTTGTCTTAGGTTTGGAAGCAAAAACTTGTATGAACGTACTTTACATAGAATTCAGAAAATGCAGTTCATATTACTGACATCTGAACTACTGGAATTTAAAATGTTCTCACTTCAGTTCAATATGAAATTATTGTACCTCTATACAAAAGTGAATCTACCCGAAGTGGAACCGTGGTTAAAAAGTGTAAAAATATAAGTGATACTAGTTTTGTAACTAAAAATGTATAAAAGTTGGTTTGATTTTTATCTGCCAAATTAAACTCGTGCCTTAGTAGTGGTCCACATCTATGGCTAGTTATCTCTACTCGTAATGCATAAACCAACTAAGAATTTTCGATATCAGGAAATCTGTTTACATAGGACTACCATGATATTTAAACACGAGCCAAAAATTGGCACCACTAACATTTTATCTTAAGTACAGTTACTTTTTGTCTATTCATAACGATTATCTGCTATATCAATATTCCTACTGAATATTCAAGTTGCATGATATTATGCTAAAGAGTGAATTTAAGTAAATCATTCATCAAAAACTACGGAAGTATCGATAAGAATTTTATTTCCAAATAAAATTATTAGTAGGATTTATTAAAACATGAAATGAAATAAATTTGTTTGAAACTAAATTATGATCAGAATGGGGTATATAGAAATTGTGATAATTTCAATAGTTGAAGTCATAAGTTGATGTAAGCTAGACCATCATGGAAAATCTGGAAGCACTGGACGACCGTTTCGTCCTATTGTGGGACTCCTCAGCAGTGCGCATCGACGATCCTCAACGCAGGATTCGAACCCAAGACTTTCGTCCTCGCGCGCGAACGCTTAAACTCTAGACCACTGAGCCGGCATCCAACGGTGTTAATGTCTAATTTCCATCGATCCATGAATGGCTGCGTAACCATTCATCCATTGTCTGAGGTAGATACCTGTCTCTGAAACTAAATTGTCGTATTAACTGTTTCAATTTAATCAATGCCATGAAATTACCTGTTCAAATAATTAAACGCTTTAAGAATTATTTAATCGATTATCTGTTAAAAATAACTCAGCACAAACTAATTTCCAACTATTTAATTTAAATGGACGTCAGTATGAAACAAAAATCTCCACAAAATCCCCTTCTGATAATGGGTACTTTCATGAATATCACTTCCCTGGGACATTTACCTGTCATCTAATAAGAGAAATGTACAGTTATTTAGTTCATTTTGAGTTATTATTAAATTTAGTTCTTTAGTAGCTGAAGTAAACTTGATCAGCTTTCATTTCAAGTGATCAAATACTATAATCAAAAAGTATTCATTTATTAAATCACTAAAATTTATTCAAGTATCATTTTCTATTATAAAATATTTGATTATGTTTCTGTATTTCCAGACTATCATTGGAGCAGAATTACCAACTTCACCAAGATCTCGTAATTCACAAAAATCAAATCATCCATTTTATACAAAATTAAATAAAAATCCAACAAAGAAATTCTGTGAATCAATTAATAACACTGAAACCAGTACTGAAATACCTTTTCCTAAACATAACTCAGAATATACTGAACAGTTTCAAAATGAAAAATTGATTAATCATTCAGTTAACATTGGATCATTTGTGTAAGTTTCAAATAACCGTATTATTTTTTAATATAGATGTAACTATACTAATCTAGATAATGCTAAAAGAGATGTTAAAAATATGGGAGTTGTAACCTAACAGTTTTTACATTCTATGCTTTCTTACTGTCCATCACTTGAAAAAGAAAACTTATTAAGATTTCAAAATTTATAAAATGAATACTAGATAGTAACAATTTTGAGAGTTTCTATTTTCATTTGTAGTATAATTGATTCATTTATTTCCTTATAAAGTGATTAGTGCTTACTAATTACAATAGACTTTTGTAATTTGTGTAGGTATTTCTTCAAGTCTTGATAAACTGTGTTTCTAAAATAGCTCATATAATGTCAAGGATTCAGTGATACTGCCTAATTGATGATAGAATGATACATATTTTATTGCAAGGTAAAGTTTGAAATCTTCGTTATGGTTAGATTGAAGGCATTAAAGATATTTATGAATATCGAAGCATTTCTACGATTGTTGAATGCAGTTAGTAGTTATTACCGATCGAATATAAAAATACAAAACTAAATAAATAAACCACGTGTAGAATATTAAAATGACATTATGGTGAAAAATAAGGCTGAAGGCCATGGGTTCGAATCCCACGAGCAGGATCGTGGATGCGCACTGCTGAGGAGTCCCACAAGAGGACGAAACGGCCGTTCAGTGCTCCCAGGTTTTCAATGGTGGTCTGACATCAATCGTTTCATGATCTCAATCAAAACTTAACAATCTCCACAATTCCTATACTGATAATAAATTTATGCTTAGGTGACGTAACAAATTACAAAAATATTTGCGAATTTTAGACATATCAAGAAACATAAGGTTGATGACTGATGATAAATAGATTGAAAAAACAAAAGCATGTTCACTTAAGCAGAAATTAAGTTAATTGCTCCCAAAAATCTGTCATAATGTTGTGCAACGACGTTGATTATATTTTCGCTCTTTCCTTCATTGAAAGCTAAAATCACAATTAAATCCAGTAAGTTTCTTTTGAAAATAGTTTGCCGACTGTTCGAATTGCATAGCACTAAGTTACATGCATTAAGATATTAAATCCTAAATCATATTAGCAACCAAGTAAACCTGATTTCCATAAATATATCCATATGGTAGACTAAAGTATATGATATGACCCATTCTTCAGTAAACGATTACTTTTTCTGACAAAATAACTGGTTTGATATTTTCCAGACTTCTAACAGCAGTAATCCACAATAAACTTGTTGTAATTATCCAGCTCTTACTTGAGAAATTTCCATTTAATGGCTACCGGATAGCTTCACTGTTGAAAAAGAATGTAGTTCATAATTGTGTCATCATAAACAGTTAAACTTCAAATTTTTTTACCTCAGTTATAACAACATTTTAACTGGAATTATTCATAATTATTACTGATTTTTTTATGCACTATAAAACGTCTAGTTTGTCAAACTATTCTGACAGTTAATTGATATCCACTGAGGACAAAAACACCTTTTAGCATGGTAACAGAAGTGACTCATTATTTTCAATGATTAGTTTAATTTTCTGTAAAAGAATTTAATATTAATTTTTGTAGCGTGTGCATGTATGTACACAGAATAACAATCTTTATGTCAATATGTACTACTCAAAGTATTTAGGTTTAAATTAACCAGAATAGGTTAAAAAGCGTAAATTTCGGAGAGTTTGCATGTGAGAGATTCAATATCTGTGAATTATTTTATTCCTTTATAATCACTGATATACAGAGAAGCAAAGTTAAAATTTAGAGATGGATGGTAGGACTTGTCATTTAGATATACCTAAGCCCCAGAGTTAATGTCCACTTAGAGAACCAAACCCAGCACCATTTGATATAAACGCATATCCCGAAGTAGACATCAACTCTGGGGTGCAGATATATCCAGCTGTCGAGTCCCAAGTACGACGAAACGCGCGTCCACTGCTAGCCACCATCCATTTCTGCTCAGAATTCTTGAGACTTAAATTAATATCGAGTCAGGGTGCACGTATGCTAATAAGAGACTGATAAATTGCAGTCCAAAACATCAATGGGAAGATTCAAACAATCAATACAAAAATGAATTAAAATTTACATACGATAAATATTTTAAATTGTTGTTTAATGATTGTGTTCAATTCTGATTATTTGTCTGACAGAAAACATAGACCATTGGGTCTAGGTTTAGAGACTGTCGCATTATGGTATAGGAATTATGTTGTTAGACTTGATCAACAGTAAAACACCATCGACTTTATATAATTTGTTGGTCAGTCATCTTATTTTTGTACGAAACTGTATGAAGCTTTTCAATAACATATTTGCCTACTATTTATTGTATAAGTAGTTCGAATTATACAAATAATGTTTTCACACAACCTGAGTTGGGTTATGAGCATATGGTTAACTTATGGGTTTATACCATGTCTAGATCATGGTCAGTTCGTGATTCAGAAACCTACACTCAAAAATCACGTGAACATAACAAGATCGCTGTTAAATAGTGAAAAATCTCTAGCATTTTAAGAGTACTTACAGTTTATCAGATAATTTGTAGTAATGAACGGTATCCCGAATGATTATCTTCACCTAGAAAACTAGAGGCAAATTATTTTAACTAGTTGAGACATTCGTTACTAAAGCAAAGAATAATGGTTTAGCAAGTATAGTTTCGTCATTAGTGGCCAATAAAAATTAGATATTTTATAACTCTGTCAATATGTTCATACATAATTTACAATTATTTATTCTCTTGGAGATATCACAACATTGAAATAGTGGCAATCGCATTAAGAAATTATGATATTGTTATTCATTTGTATTTATGTATATATGTGTTTCATATTATTTTAACTGAGTTTGCAGATAAAAATGTTATTCATTTTAGTGCTTGAACACTATCAATTATGTCACATATACGAACAAAATAACAAAAATAATTCTTGTCAACTAATCAAAGGTTATTAATTACTAAGTTGTAACATCAGTTCTTATCGGTAAATATATTTACTGAAATAAGCAGAATAGCATTATTAAGTTGACATTTTAAATAACTGTTATTTGGTTTGAATCCATAGGCTCATATGAAGCCTATACATATATAACAATCAACGAATTATAATCATCAACTTCAGACTGTAAAATTGATTAATTGACAAACTTAACAGAATAACATGAATTCATTTATTTCGCTAATTCTCATTGCTTGTTTATTACCTGCAAACAATGTTATTATTTGAGATAAGATGGTGGTTGGAGGTAGTCATCACTGGGTGGTGATCAATGTCATGTGTGTCAAGTCCTTCTTAGTGCAGATCAATCAGTTGTGATTACATCTCAGTCCTACGGAAGGTCAGTCGCAGCCCGGAAAGCTCAGTGGTAACGTCTCTGACTGTGAAGCTGGGTGGCACGGGATCGAATCCGTTAGGGATTACAGGTACACCTTTCTGACGAGTGCCAAGTAGCACGAAACCTAGGCCCAGGGTTTCCTGTTGACTAACTCCAACCACAATCTTATCTCAACATAGTGCACACAATGTTGAGTCACCTAGACCAGTGGCCACATTGCAACATGGTCGATAGCATTCGATCTGCACTAAGAAAGACTTGACACACATGACATTGATGCCACCCAATGATCAATCATTTGTGAAGACCCATAAGCATTGAGTAATTAAAAGAGGTGTATGTGTCTAAAAAATTTATCCGTTAAATAATATGAATATTCCCGAGATAAATTTGGCAAAATACATAAAATCAGATTACTGAAAAAATCTCAATGTCTTTTGTGTAAGAAATCATTAAGTTATATCATGAATTACTCAGTTGAAAGTGCTATTTATAGATTATCAAGTATCTCTACAGAAGTTAATGTATGATGAAAACAATGTCATCCCCCAAACTGGTGAAGGCTGTGGTATGATTATAATCGATAAAAATAAGTACGTAAGTAAAGTTTATACGACTCTTGATAATTCATCATTTCATGGTCGATTGTATAAAAAATATATGGCTAGAGCCACTGAAAGTCGTATTGCAAATTCAAGAGATTCTCTGTAAACAAAAGTAATTGACAACAGTGAGAATAATAAGCCGAAACCGAGAGAATCCGAGTCAACTTGTCTATAAGGCCTGCTGAAAATACATAGAACCAATACATCAACTAGACCAAAACTTTCAATTTTTAAATCGCCGTTTCATAAACGTATCTGTTATTTATTAAAAACGTTGGAGCCAATTTGCCCAATGTTGGCTATTCATAATTCGAACGACACATTTCAATTTTCGAAAGTATGAAGAAATGTTAGTATGAGTGAGAATATTTTAGTTCTGTTCAATTTTCCTTTATTGCTTACTACAATTCCACTGGAAGCAACCATAAAAAGGATATGTTAATACATTTACCTTGTTCCATTACTAAAGAATGATATCAAACACCTCCTGCTAACGTGCACCAAAGAACTACAATTTTGATTCAACAACATCCGATATAACTAAATTGATGGAGTCTCTACGGGGGGCCTGTTAGGGTCAATATCGGGAAATATATTTGTGACCTAACTAGAGCGAAGAAAGATGGAGTCGATAATAAGCAAGGGAGTTTTGTAAGTTAAGGATGCGGATGACATATTTGTTGCTTTCGATAGTCACAAACACGTCTTTCATATTCTGAATCTTCTCAGTAATGCACGCCTCGATGAAAAATCTACAGTGGAGCAAGAACACGACAATATGTTTCATTTTTTAGATCTCGGCACCTAACGTAATGAAATTGGTCAAATTAAGATATTTATTTATCGGAAGGACATCTGAAGTGAAATTTACTAGAATTCCTGTAAATTTTTTACCATAACCTACAAACGACGTTTGGTTAGAATCTTATTCAGTAAAGTACAGAAAGCATGTTCAGATAAGATTGAATAAGAACCAACAATCGTTGAAAAGTATCTAAGGCATGATAGTTCTCCGAAAAACTTCATCAGTAAGTACTGCAAGATA